ATGCATGCTGAAAACAGACTATAGACCAAACATGATGGCAACTCAATACCTCTTTTGCAAACCACAGCTCCCAAAAGGAGACAGAAAACAAAAGGGAATGCCCTGCCACAGGGGTGGAGTGGAATGGGGGGTGGGCAGGAGGGTGGGAGGGATGCTGGGAGCATTAGAGGTGGGGAATGGACACCAGTGGAGGGATGGGTACTCAATCATTGTATAACTGAAGCCCAAGCACAAAAATTTGTAAGTCTACAACTATACCTCATTGTGTTTCACTAATAAAAATTTTAAAAAAAGAGCTTCGTTATCTTTTATTATCAGGGAAATGCAGTGAAAATGAAATCAACTTTAAACCTATCAGAATGGCTTTTGTCCTAAAAGACAAAAAACAGCAAGTGTGAAAGAGGATGTAAGGAAAAGGTGACATTCATATACTCGTGGTGGAAATGTAAGTCAGTGCAGCCATTATGGAAAGTAGGATGGAGATTACTTTTTAAAAAAATCCATATGATCTTGTTATTCCACATTCAGATTATTTGCTCCCCAAATACAAAAAGTCAAATTCAAGTAGAACTTTGTGCTCCCATGTTTACTACAGTGTTACGTACATTAATTAAGAACTGTAAACAAGCTAAGACCTATTGGCTGACAAGTGGGCAAAGAGGCTGTGACATTTGTATGTGTGTACATACACAGACACATAGACACACACACACACACACACATACATACTGAAATTCTATTCTATGAAGAAAAAAGGTGAAATCCTGCCATTTGCTTTGCAACAACATGGATGGACCTAGAGGATATCTTGCTTGAGGAAATAAACCAGATGGAAAAAGACAAAGACCATCAAAGACCATATGATTTCATTTACATGTGGCATATAGAGACAACAAACAGAGCAACTAAATAAAACAAAAATAAACTTTTGAACTCTTAAGATCAATTTGTGGTTACAAGAAAAGAAGTAGATAGAGGGTGGATAAATCTGAATAAAATCAGCAAATATGAGGTAAAGAGTAGAATTGGACTTTCAATAGCAAATTTATTGTCGTATGCACATATATTGGTTTTCATTGTTATACACCAGAAACATATACTGTTATAATGAAATGTTATCCTTCAATAAGCAAATGATAAAGGTGGTTTTTGAAGGAGTGCTCTTAAAATAACATCAGAACGCTTGATCCTGCTGGAGTTTTTGTTTTGTTTTTGGTTTTGTTTTGGGGGCCACACTCAGTGGTGCTCATTAGCCACTTCTGGTCCTGAGCTCTAGGGATTATGTAGTCCTACTCATCCTGGTGCCAGGGTCAGCCACATGCCAAGCAAGCAACTTAACCCCAGTGCAATCTCTAGGGTCCACTTCTGCAGTTTTTTGAGTGAGTGTTAGCTGAACTCACAGTGTCTTTAAGCCTCCTGGAATGAACAGGCCCAGTGGAGTAGAGCAGTTCATTGGGGAGACACATGGAAAATCGGCCCCCCAAGGGGACTCCTTCACCCTTAAACATGGCACCACCTGCTTCAATCTCATTTGGCTCCTCTTTGCTGAAAACAATACTGCTCCCTTGCCTCCAGGAGTTCCTTGCAAGAAGATGCCACACACTGGAATCTTCTCTCTCCTTCAAGACCTAAACTCTGGGATGAATTTTAACCTATTGATTTTAGGTTACAGGACATCTTTAGTTCATGCTTCAGAGTAACTTTTACTTATGTGAGTTTCTGAAGACCTTCATAAGTGGTGCTTATGGTTCAATAAATCTCTGACTTCCAACCCCCATAATTTTTAAACTAAGATAAAGTGGTTTATTGTATTAACAAATCACTAGTATAATCACTAAAGACGTAACTAAAATTAGAGTCTAAATAAATAAAATCCTTTAAGTACACTTGGTACTTTCTCCATTAATCTTCATCTTTATCCTATTACCTCTTTTTGTTTTTCTTATAATTATTTATATATAATATAACCACATCATAGAAAAATAAAGAAAACCTAACCAATATTCCCTCATTGTTCTTTTTCCCCCCCATTTGTTTCTGAGCATTTTAGCATGCTCCTCCCCAAATTTAGATGAATCTAGCACTTTTAAAGTTAAATGTATATGTACAACTTTTTAAGTTTAATATGTTACATGAATTTTAATCTATTAGTGTCCTCACATCTTCCTTTCCAGTTGTTTTATAATTTGAAAAAAAGTACAGGCATAAAGTGTAATTATGAGTTCTTAAAGGGAGGAACTCTGCTTTATTATACTCCACTACTCGTAGATATTCAGTTATTTATTGATTTAAGATTCCTTGCATGTTCTTCATTTGTGTTGCACAATTTCAACAAACATTTATGGAAATAGTTTTGCACATAGTTTTGATTATTTAACATACATTTCTACCAGTGAGATTATCGCTCATTGTGGTATGAGTGTGTCTATGGCTCAGTATAGATTACCAAGTTGTTCTCTTTCTAGAAGCACTGTATAGATTTCCAACTCCCCCTACGATGCATGAGATCACCAGTTTTAATACATCCTTGTCAGCATGCATGCAATAGGAGGAAGTACAGCACCTCATTGTGATTTTAGTGTGAACATTATGTACTTGCTAATTGCATTTTCTCATTTGTGAATTCACTTCTCCTTAGCAATTTGAATAAACTTTATAGAGGAAAGATATTACTTTATGTCTACTATATTGTCCTCAGATGGATTTTTTTTCTATCTAGTGGGATTTTTTTAAAAGCACTTTTAGTATTATATGAAGGAAAATGTCTTAGCCTTCTCTTGAGCATATCTTTAGCTCTGAAAATTTATAGTCTTGTGAAAATGTTTATGTTCTCAAACTGCTAGCACTCAATGACCCAATGAAGGTAATTTATTTACAACCATTTACAGCTATTCTATATCAAAAATAGAATCAGATATCAGATATTGCCCATTACTACTGTCCTTTTCCCTGCAGAGATTTGCCTCTCTTTGACCCAACTGTATCATCCAAATATCTGTCTTTGAAGCAACAAATACCAATCTTTGCATATTTCTGTCTTCCTCTACGCTAGGGCTGAGTACCTTTTATTCTGCCAAGGACCATATTTGTATATTTCTAACGTCATTTGTGCGCCATGCAGTACAGGCAGATGGGCTGTGGGCAGTCAACAAGAGGCATACGTGTCTGTCCCGTCATGTACCAGGCGAGATCACATGATTTTTGTGGGAATCACATGCAGCCTGTTTGCCAGACTTTGCCCACTTCTACTTTTGTCCTGTGTGTGTGTGTGTGTGTGTGTGTGTGTGTGTGTGTGTGTGTGTGACATCTGGTTGTGCTCAGGGCTTCGACTGCCTCTTCATGCAGGAATCACTCCTGGTGGGATTCAGAGGGCCAGGGGTGCCAGGGATGGAATGCAGATTGGTTACGAGCATTTTAAGCACCTTACCTGCTTTTTCTATCTCTTTGGCCCCTAAACCTATTTTTTTCTTTTCCCTTGTTTTAAAAGATTATTTACTGAGACACTGTGATTTACAATGCTGTTCATAATAGCATTGTTTCATGCATACAACATTCCAACACCAATCCAACACCAATGTCCTCTTTCCTCCACCAATAAACCCAGGATCCCTCCCACACCCTAGCCAGTCCTCCTGGCAGGCATATAATAAATTTATTATATATTATTTGCTCCAGTGAAATTTAAAGGAATGGAAAATAGACTATCAGAAAATGATTCAATAAGAGTCAATTAGTGGTGATTAATGGCTATTGCCTTGCACGCAGCCAACATGGCCGACCCGAGTTCGATTCCTCCGCCCCTCTCGGAGAGCCCGGCAAGCTACTGAGAGTATCTCACCCGCGCGGCAGAGCCTGGCAAGCTCCCCGTGACGTATTTATATATGCCAAACACAGCAACAACAAAGTCTCCAATGGAGACGCTACTGGGCCCGTTCGAGCAAATCAATGATCAATGGGAGGGCCTTTACTTTACTTTACTTTACTTTACTTTACTTTACTTTACTTTACTTTACTTTACTTAATCTATTAGAGAACAGCCATATGCACCATTAGTGAGTGCCAGTCTCAGTGCCACGTGATGGGAATTTTCTCCTGTCCTTCAAAAGAGTTCTTTCCATGCTTCTTACAAAACATGGTTTAAAGGCTATAAATTCCCTAACCTGTTGCTTGTCCATGAAGATCTGCTTTGTTTCTTCAAGTCTAAATGATAATCTATCTGGATAGAATATTCTTAGTGAGGTGTTCATTTCATTGATTTTTTTGTACTATGTCCTTCCATATTCTTCTGACTCATAGAATCTCATTTGATATATCTAAGGGACTTTTTTAGATATATAAGGATTTTTTTTAAATCTTGTACTCAGTATTCTGTCTCTATTTTGGATTTTTTTCATTTTGAGTATAATGTGTTTTGGAGTTTTCTTAATTGGGTCTTTTTTCACTGAGACTCCTTGGATCTTTTGGATCTCAGTGTCTGTAATCCTTGACCCTGGAAAGTTCTTACTGAGAATTCCTCCCTAAACCTATTTTTAAATTGCTAAGTGAGCCTCCTCCCTTCCTATGAAAACTTGAGTCTAAAAAGAACATAAAGCATCCCCACTGTCTAAGGTAATGGTACCTTACACACACACAAACCACACACACACAAACACACACACACAGCACACCCTGGCATATCCCTTATTCATTTCACACATTTCACAATGTTTTATCTAGTTTGCTTACTTGTTTGTTTATAAATACACTTTCTTTCAGAAATTCCTACCAAAATGCCATTTCCTTTGCTCCCCTCTAGACCTGAGCTGAAACATCTTTTAGTTTGAGAAGACCTCTGTGTACTGCAGGATACTGAAAATAAGACCTGTGTCTTTTGTTCTAAACTAATAAAAGTGGTTCTTTTTAGTGCATTACAGCTTCAGAACTAAGACAACTTCTATTAAGGGGAGTACATGCTAGTAAATATAAAATTGAGCAGAAACAAAATCCACAAAGATCAAAGTAGACATGTTTATATAATAATGCATATAGAGAAATCCTTGCGCAGGGGACATGCTAATCTTCTCTGTATCGTTCCAATTTTAGTATATGTGCTGCCGAAGTGAGCACATATATTGGGCTGGAGCGATAGCACAGTGGGTAGGGTGTTTGCCTTGCACACAGCCAACGCACCCAATGCAGCTGACATGGTCGAACCCGAGTTCGATTGCTCCGCCCCTTTCAGAGAGCCCAGCAAGCTACCGAGTGTATCTTGCCAGCACAGAAAAGTCTGGCAAGCTACCTGTGATGTATTCTATATCCCAAACACAGTAACAATTCTCACAATGTTACTATGCCCGCTCAAGCAAATCGATGAACAACGGGAGGACAGTGACAGTGATAGAGAAATCATTAAGTAGTAAATCCAAAGAGCATCACAGATCAGCTAATTAGCATTGAGCAGGTCATTTCACCTCTTTGAGGTTTTATTACCTTAAAAAGCTGAGCTCAGTTGGTGGTTTTCAGAATTATTGGTGTTTTTTAGTAAAATAATTCCATTTCAAGTGGAAAACAAAACCTAAAGCCGTCACTGTAGCATTCCTTTGGTTGAAGTAAGGGCAGGTCGCCTAGAATCTAGCCTGCTAACCTCCCCTAACCTTCCAGTCCACGGGGCTTTAGAAATGCCTGTTCCAATAAGCCCTCAGATTACCCCTTATCGTAACGTGATAATTGATATATGGACAGGCCAAGTTTTCTTCCAGCTCAGAAATTCTATACTCTCAGTGGTTCCAATACAAATCCTGTAGGATTCAATTGGGTAGGTCAGATTAGTTGAGTGGGATAAGCAGAGTGGGATAATCAGATCTGCGAGTTTGGGGGCTTTCAAGGGTGAAGAAGCCATGCTACTGACTCTGACTACCCAAGGGCATCTTGATGTCAGGAAATTTTTTGGAAAATGAAAAATATGATCCCTGGACCAGGAACTATATTGCTGAGCATCCTTGTATTACCTTGTGTTCTCACCACTGGCCTCAGCTTGAAGTCACCCCAACCCACAGCAGAAACATGAGTCTAGCCTTGTGGAGTCACAGGGTCTTCGCTGCCCCCTCCATAGGAACTGCTCAAAACTGGCCCCTGGTCTTATATTTTGATTCCCACATGGATGTCACCTTCCAAGAAAAGTTTTGATTGTTCTAACTCAAGACATCCCATGCAGACTCAGTTCATTCATGACAGTACTCCCTGCCTATGTCTTTAGTCAGTTCTTCAATTTGTTGTATTTATTTACTTTATAGTTTCTCTGGCAAGTTACTGCTATGGAGAGTGGAGACCTCTCTGTGTGTTTCATTGCTTGTCCTGGGAAAGTAACTGATCCACAGAGATGTTTCATACATATTTGGTGAGTCAGTCAATGAGCAGAAAGTAGTTATTATAATCTATAGGGATATAGATGAGTAAACTGAGGCTTGGAAAAGTTTAATTGCCATCTCTGAATCCTAAGTGACAGAATCTGAATTCAGACGCAAGCATGACCTAAGAGCATTCTTACGTGTTATTTGGTCCCTGGGTATAACTATTAAAGGCTTTAGTAGATGTCCACATATGCCTTGTGAGATGTTCATAGTGACCACCAGGTTGATGGAAATCATGTCAACGGTTGGGCCCCCATGAGTTTCCTGGGCCTCCGTATTCTATACAGCATGTTCACTTTCCTCCAGCAGTAAGCGAATTCCTTCATGGCTACCTCTGCCTTTTTTTTTTTTTATTTATTTATTGAATCACTGTGGGGAAGGTTACAAAGCTTTCAGATTTAGGTCTCAGTCATGCAAATATCAGACACATTTCCCTTTACCAATACTTATTTTTTACCATGAAGAACCCCAATAAAACCCCACCCCCCACCCCTCCCAGTCCCTGTGAGGCAGATGAATTCTGGTTAACACTCTATCTGCTTTGATTAGATTCATTGTTTCAATAAAAGATTCACCACTATTATTTAGAGTTTACCCCCCCCCCCACAATCAGACATGCTGAAAAAGCATTGTGAAGTGATTTGCTTTCTACAGCTGGGTTCAAGAATTAAATGTTGGTTTTGGATTTCTGCTGTTTTACTTATTGACCCTGGAAGTATTTCTACTGAAAGTCAGATAGTTAAGAAATTGGTTTCTGTGCTCTGGAGTCGTGGCCGTGCTGGAGAGCCGCTCGTGGGGGGCAACTGGCAGCCTCGGTAGGGCGTGAAGGGAGGACCGAAACGCCCCCCTTCCCATGAGGTTTTAGTCGCCCCCACACCCCCAGCTCATACCTGCTGTCCACAAGGCTCCCATGCGGCCGCCATACCGCTGCCTTTTTAAAAGCTCGCTTATCATGAATCAAAATCATGTGTTGCAGCATCCACACATGGACCCTCATTTTTCTTTCTGCAGCAGAGTAAATCTTCTCTTGTTGCCAGGTTGTAGAGGATGTAGACATCAGTCGGGCAGACTCTTGTCTGGATTTCCCTAGGTGGGCAATTTACCAGGCAGCTTCCCTGGCCTAGGTGCTTTAATGAGGAGTGTTGTTGTTGTTTCATGGTAATTAGTGCCATATTATTTTCCTTTGCCACTTAGAGCCGCACATTCTTAAGGAAATTAGGTCCTCCACATTGAAGTTGAGTCATCGGTTTTCTCTTTGCAAGCTGCCTTCTTAAAATACTGCATTCCTAGTTCATTTCCCCTCCCACTTCATCTTCTATGCCCCCCACCTCCACCCCAGGTTGGTGCCAGGAACTGAGCATAGGTCTTGAGTGAGAGGCATGTGCCTTTCCTCTGTGCCAGTCCCCGTTCCCCCTCCAACCTGAATGTGTAATGATAAGCAGGAAAATGCCTAATTAAACCCTCTGTGTTCCTTGAAAAAAAAAAAAAGACCCAATACAAACTCTATTAAGTATGGACTTTTCATCTATGCTTTATTTCATTTATTTGGGGGGTGGGGTGGGCTGGAGCAATAGCACAGTGGGTAAGGCATTTTGCCTTGCACGCAGCCGACAAGGCCAACCTGGGTTCGATTCCTCCGCCTCTGTTGGAGAGCCCAAAAAGCTACCGAGAGTATGTCTCCCCGTGACCTATTCAATATGCCCAAAACAGTAACAGGTCTCACAATTTGTTGTGAGATGTTACTGGTGCCCACTTGATGAACAACGGGAGGACAGTGCTACAGTGCTATTTATTTTTTGATGTTCATAATTTATGGTCTCTGGCTTCTGCTTAGCCTTCAAGAGCATTTAAGTCTATCTACACTGATCTCTCCAGTGGTGACTGACCTTTTTTCCTAAGATAATACCTGTTTAAATCTCTTACAGACCATCGCTTTTAGATTGTTTCTTGCATCTCTTTCACTGAAAGAAGCAGAAAAAAATGCATAATAAAGTGAGTATTCCGTTTGCTCTGTGACTCAAAAGCTCTTCTAAATCCCATAATTGGACTATCACATTTCATAAACAGTAGCATGTCCTGGGAACACAGCATGGACCCTAAGCTTAGTGTCTCACATTGGTTGGCTTTATTTTATCTTTCATTTCCAGGATTACAATATTCTGTCTTCTTCTGTGATGCGAATGATTAGGTTCAGTAATCCAGGTAAAGTGCTTCAGATGAGTGTCTGGCATCGTTAGCACTCTAGAAAGATTAGCTGTGTTATCACCATATTTCTATTTTAGAGCTAAATAGAGTTGAAATCTAAACTCACAGTGAAACTAGTGTTTTTATGACTTAACACATCGTATTACGGCAGAGTGCATGAGAGGGTAGAGGTCGAAAGGTGCTTCAGATCAAGAGATCTAGGGGTGGACATAAACTGTATCATTTCCTAAGTTGGGAATATCCAACCAAGTTCTGAAGCTCCTGAAACCTTTGTCTTTCTTGTCTGTGACCAAGATGCATCAATCGAATGAGAGTCTTCCTCCACATATTTAACAAAATGTGGATTGGAGTCGAGCATCCTCCACCCAGATCCTCCAAATTCCAGTAGGTCGGGATCAAACCCACCACCTGGCCCCCTGGCGCCGTGTAATCCCATCAACGGCCAAGACTCAGAGACTATAAAATCCAGCTCCCGGACGAGACCAGTGCAGTCTCCTGCCCCCGCGCCTGGCTGTTCCTCGCCAGGGCCCCTTGAAGGGGAGCGGGTTGAGCTCTCCTCCCCGCCCCGACCAGGGCTCCGACAGCCGAAGACCTCCAGGACCAGCCACCACCATGCTGAGACCACTCTCGGCACACATGAAGGTACTGGCAGAGGGACAGAGCCACGCGGGTTCCGGGGCTGAGATCTCCAAACCTACTCGGATTGGAGTCGAGCATCCTCCATCAAGATCCTCCAAATTCCAGTAGGCGGGGATCAAACCCACCACCTGGCCCCCTGGCGCCGTGTAATCCCATCAGCGGCCAAGACTCAGAGACTATAAAATCCAGCTCCCAGAACCGCGCGGCCATATTCGGCCACGCGACATCTTATCAGGACATCTTTTAATGACATCTTATTATCTCATTCCTACTTTGGACAAACTTGCAGGCTATCAAATGTAGCCTGCCCACAGGGCAGAGTCTAGCAAACTCCCCGTGGCGTACCAAATATGCCAAATACCAGTAACAATGATGGGTCTCATTCTCCTAAAGAGCCTTAAATATAATCTCAGGGCTAGGATGAAAGAGACGTTACTGGGGCCTGCTCGAGGCAATCGACGAATAACAGGATGATGAATGAATGAATGAATGAAATGTGAATTTGGGCCTGTTTATTTGGCTTTTATTTCTACCACCTCAGCGTATGTACCGTGTTTAAAGGACCTGAGTCACGAAGGAAATGCTTAATAGAAAGATGAGAAAGAAACCACTCAGAAGACTTCCGATGGTTTCCCCCACGTGCTATGCCATGCCCTGAGATCTCTCAAGAAGCAAAGTGATCCCCTCAGCATCCAGTTTATAGAGGAATGTTTGGGGAGAGGGAGACATCAAAAGGCATCATAGCTAGTGTTTTTGCTTATTTTCTAAAATGGCTGTCTTAGGACCCTTAATGCATGGGAGGTGGTATGGGTTGGTAAGAATAATACTGGTCCGGAAATAATTAAGTCTGTTGACTTTTATTCCATATCTAGC